TGGCTTCTTTTTTTTTAAGTGGAAGGATATAGAATTTGGCAGACCAGGACTTAGTTTCCATTTCTCATTCTAACTGTGGTGAGAATAGATCATCATCCAAAATTTTAATAAAATTAAAATACCATCACCCAGCTACACAAATAATGAGCGTTGGAACAGGGATTAGAACCTAGGTCTTTTGTGTCTAAGGGTAGCCAGATGGTGCAATGGATAGAGAACTGAGCCTGGAGTCTGGAAGACTCATCTTCATGAGTTCAAATCTGGCCTCAAGCATTTACTAGCTCCATGACCTTGGGCAAGTCACTTAACCCTACTTGCCTCAGTTTCCTCATCTGTAAAATGGGCTGGGGAAGGAAATGGCAAATCACTCCAATATCTCTGCCAAGAAAACTAAATGGGGTCCCAAAGAGTCAGACATAACTGAACAACTTTTGAGTCTATGTCTTTATATCTTTCCATTTCACTTTGCTTAGCAGTATGATTTAAACAGTAGGCAAGAAGTGAGGGCAGTTTTAGAGTAAATGGGATTAGCAGAAAGGAAGTGTTCTCTCTCCTCTTTCTCTTCTCTCTTAAGAAAGCCTGTCACCCACTACTCCCAGTATCCCTGGCTTACCTCTGCTGGTGGTCTTAAGGTTGCTGACCCACTCTCTGCTCTAGAGCCTGGACTGTTCATGAGTATTACCTGCTGCCCGTCATGATTACATGAAGTGCTTCCATCCCTCGGTGCTTTGAGAAGGAGGCAGCACAGTCCAATGAGATGTGTAAGCAATTCCTGTCATTCATAACACTGTCTCCCATTTCCCTCTCACCCCTGTGATTTGTAAAAGATCCCAGCTGCATGGTCTCTCCTCTCCTCTCCTTTCCTTCCTTTCTTTGTGGAGAGCCTTACTATGCACAAGATGCTTGAAACCTAGGAGCCTGGAGCCTAGGCTTTCCCAGGATCCCAAAATGATGCTGAAGAAAAAACAGCTCAGTATTATAATCACACAAAGCAAAGCCTGTTTGGACCATAATGAATCTTTGAGGTTCTGATCTCAAGAGCCAGTCTAAGAAGACCTGTGCTTCAGCAGAATACACCAGATCCTGCTAATTTAAATTTTACCATCTGATTTGAAATCTGTGCAAAAACATGCATAACCGATATCAAATTGTTTGTAGTCTTGGGGAGGGGGAAAGCGAGGGAGAGAGTAAGAAAAAATTGGAACTCAAAATCTTATAAAAAATGAATGTTGAAAATTCTTTACATGTAATTGGAAAAAATAAAATACTATTTACAAAGATTAAAGAAAAACAAATCAGGCAAAAAGAAAAAATGCACAAAAATAAAAGGTGTTCATGGAAAAAGAGGGATATACTGGCAGAAGGGCTGAATTTAGAGTCCAGGGACCTGGATTCTAGTTGTAGCTCTGCCACTTACTATCTAAGTAACCTTAAACAAATCACTGAACTCCTGTGAGCCTTAGTTTCCCCATCTGTAAAATGACGGGTAGTGTTGGACTAGATGATTTTTTGAAGTCCCTCATAGCTCTGTATCTATGATCCTATGGGGGATGTGGGGCACTCCAGGGAGTGCATCAATCAACAGGGACCATTTAGCTTTAAATCCTCCTGTGTTTAGCGGGGTTCCCCTCCTTCCTCACCCCATATCAAGTGAAATTAACTGTGCATTTCTCCAGTGTAATGTCTCCTACTGTATGTTTAGTATCACTTATCCTGAGAAGAAGCTGACTGATTTCTCTGGAGCCCGTCTTCTTGTTTTCCATGTTCTGGGTCTTTTTTATCTATCAATCTATCTGTTTATCTATTTATTCATTCATTTATTGTTTTACTTTTGCTGTTTCTCTGTAAGACCCCCTGCCCCAACTCTTTCTGAATCTTAAGGATGTTCTCTATAGAGGCCAGTATCAACAAGGTGGAGATATGCTTCCTGCTAGTCAAAGGTGAAAATCTGAAACCTGTACTTCTCTTTAGGAATGGATCCTACCTTTTCCTCCAACCAAAATCCCCAGTTATTAATTAGTAACTTCAATAGCTTCCTAGCTGCTTTCCCTGTGCCCAGTCTACTTTCTCCCACCCCACCCCACTCCCACAAACCACAGGCAGAATACTCTAAAGCCAGTGTTTTTAACTTGGGATCCCTGAACCTATTATAATATTTTGATAACTGTATGTGATTAGAACTGATTTCCTTTGTGGTATTTTATATTTTATTTTATGCTTTTAAAAATGTTATTCTAACAGACTGTCAGAGGAGCCCATAACACAAAAAGAACTGAGGACGACAGCATTTCATAGATACAAGACCATTAGTGGCCCCCATTGGCCATAAGACCAGGTCCTTACCTCTTCACTGAGCAGTTCACAGTCTGACTCTACCTTACCTTTCCAATCTTATCACTTGCTCTGTGAAGTCTTAGCTTCAGCTAGGCTGGTCTACTCACACTGCTCTTTTGTGCTTCCATGCCTTGACTTATACCACTGCTCTTGCCTGAAACATGCCCGACTCTTCCATTCCTCTCAAGTTTTACACTTCTTTATATCCCCCAGAGTATCTTGTATACTTAACCCTGAAACTTTCAGAACCAGTAATTTTGTTGGTATGGGTATTCCCTTCACCAATACAAATGATGATGACCCTTGTATAATTTGGTTGGTTGGCATGAGTAAAAAATTTCACCACTTGGTGATGAGTATCTCTGTGTTTACTTGGGCTGGCCCTCATACAAGAGATGCTCATCCAAGTCTGTCGACAGGCCTGTCCTTGAGCCCTGACGGCTTTGTTGGACCTGGTAGAGTAGGACCTCTGGTAGTACAGGCATTGAGAGTCCAGGTTCTCCACCTCAGCCCTTCCTGACTCTGGTGCCTTGAATATTGCTGACAAATTTGACCACTGATAGGAGAGGAAGGAGGTGAAAGTAATAGAAGAAGAAAAAAGAAGTATCTTTTGATGGGATGATAGTAGAGAGAAATCACTTAACAAAGGCCTCCAGCTTACACAATTTACTGACTGCTGCCTTAAGCCTTCCCTCTGCTAATTATTACCTATTTATCCTGTATATAGCTTGTTTTGTATAGAGTTGCTTGCTAAGGTCTCTCCCATTAGACTGTAAGCTCCTTGAGGGCAGGGACTCTTTTACCTCTTTTTGTATCCCCAGCACTTAGCACAGTGCCTGATGTGTAGTAGATGCTTAGTAAATGTTTATTAATTAATTGGTTGATTAAAGAAGGATAAACAAAGGTTTAAGTAAAACTTTTTGCAGAGTCTTCAGAAGCTACCACTAGCGGTAGCAAGAAATAGGGAGAAGCATATTGATTTGGGAAGTAAGAAAACCAAAAATTGGAGGTCTGGTTCTATGAATATTAGTTCCCTCATTAGTAAAATGAAAGGATTGAACAAGATAATTCACTAGAGTCTTGAAACATTATTCCCCCATTTCACTAAGAGACATGACTCATTCTATTAGATTAATCTCTTCCCCACTCTAGCCTCCAAATATAATGTACTTGTTCCTACATACACATCAATACTTAAGCTATTGTTTCTACCCTATATACTCCCTTCTTGACCTAGAATATCATCTTCATTTCTCTATCACTCATCAGGTCAAGCGTGTCACTTAGTTGTATGACTCTGGACAAAGCACAGTCTCTCCTAGCTTCAGTTTCCTGAACTGTGAAATTGGTATATTACTTTTATTTATAAAATGAGGAAAAATACTTTTGTAACTTAAAATGTCATTGGTTATTTTCTGCTCTTCATAGACCAGCTCAAGTCCTTTTCCCATAAAACCTCCCTTGGTCGCTCTAGCCTAAAGCGACTACTTTCTCAATTCTGATAGTATTTTTTGTTGATGTCACATATTGGACACTTGCATCATTTTTTGTTACTTTTTCCTTGTGAAGCTTGTGAGTTTTTGAGGACAAGGGTTCTGTCTTCTCCTTTTCTTATCTTTACCCAGCATCAAGTATGATGATATGCACACAAGATTCTTTTAGACAACATGTAGGTATTTAACAAACGGATCTTGACTCGGCAGTATAGAGTGATGGCATTACCAAGAAGAGACCATCCAATAATCATTTGGGTTAATTGCCAGTGAGAGGACTGATAACCTTCCCTGGTCATATGTTTATGGCCATCACATCCCGAGCTTTCAAAGGGAAGAGGGAAAAGTGTTGCATAATTAACATCGGCAGCAAGATAACACAGAGTCTCTGGAGCAATTCAGGAAACATCATTGTCTAGCATAGGAACCTAAGGGCAGGAAGGTAGAAAGACGTGGGTTCTGTGCTTACTTAGATTATTCAACTTTGTTAAGATAATGGAAAATATCCTCTGATATTTTTTCTACCTGTAAAATGGGCACAATGTTGCTACCTGCCATATGTATGCAGGGAAAAGAAGAAACCAACAGACTTCATGGACGAAGTTTGGAGAAACAGAGAATTGTTACACAGGCATCAGTTTCAATTTTTTCCTAAGCTCTGACTCTTGCAAAGCATCATTGCAAAGCAAATGATAAGGACTATGGTAATCTGTTTTAGTAGGGATAGAATCATCTTATGTCAGAATTCAGGAGATCAGGGACAGGGCTTGGACAAGCCCTAGACAAATTGGATGTTCTCTTTTCCTCCTCTGTTCATTTCTCATGCTGTTACCTTTCTCCTTGTCTGCTCATTCTCTTGCTTCCTCTCCTGTTTAGTGGCCACCCATCCATATGGTAGTCCACTCCCCCATCTCCTCTACCCCCCCCAATATTCCATCTTCTTAGTGATTAGAAATGGGGATTATGTGGTAAAGGGAAGTGCTAATGTTGGTAGCCGCCTTTGCTGCCCCCACACAACCTTTTCTTCTTCCAGGGTGATGACCATAGATAGGCTCCCCATCAAGTAGTGCCCCAGCTATAGCTATAGATGTTTTTATTTGTTTACTTCTCAAACCTTCAGCCCATAGAAACTATTAACTCAGCCCCCTTCCCACACCTTTTTTTTTTTTTTACCTTGCTGGCCTTCAGGATGTTGATTTGTTCTTCATACACAGTATCTCTATTTTTCTCCAGAAATCCATCTGAGTGGTACTCTACCTATAGCCCAATGCGGCAGGAAAAAGGAGACAGTAGTCAGAGATTCAGCCCAGAGCAGCCCAATGTTAACTTGCAGAGTCATCAGAAACTATTACGTGAGACAGCATGAGAGAGTGAGAAGTATACTGGTTTGGGAAGCAAGAAAGCCAAAATCTTCATGACATTTTCCTAAGTAGGTACAAACAGTGAGAAAAAAGAGGAAGGAATCCTGTATTGGCTGTGCCTCGCTTTAAGCAAACTTCAGTACTCTGATGGGACTGTGGTCCAAAGCAATACACAAGGCACTCTAAAGCAAAGTGCTAAAGTAGCCATGACTTTGGGTCATTTCACAAGAAATATTTGAAAATTAGAAATTACACAAAATATGATTAGGGGCAATTGCTTATTTTACAAAATGACTTCATAGAATTTCTTTAAATGGCAATGTCTTCTAGTATTTCAAATAGGAAACCATTTACAAAAAGTTATTTCTGCCTACCTTTTTAGGAACATAGCACTGTTTAATGTAACTAGCACCATAGACATCTACTGGGATTGAACTCTGATGTCTTAGCTCTTGGATGTGAGATTTTCCCAAAATTAGTACTGTTTCTTCCATAGGAAATAGTGTTAATGGGTAGCTTGCCAAAAAAAAAAAATTAATCTCTTACGTTAACCAAAAACTATTACAACTTGAAAATATGGCAATTCAAAAAGACATATTCAGGGGTCCCCTTAACACTTGGCAGCCAACTGTTTGGTGATGAACCTCTTTAATTTAGTTAAGCTGGTCCTTAAATTATAGGTCCATACTTGAAGACTTTTCATCTCAGTAGAATCTTCCGGAGCCCATGCACTACTGAAGGCACAGCTTCCAAGAAAGAATGCATGGTTCTCATTATGCCACTTCAGTAAAGGCCTCTGGAGAATGAACTATAACCCTTCTGCCAAAACATGCCACTGAGACAGAAGTAATAGAAATGATCCCACATAATTACATGTGGGTTATGATTACATGAACTCTGTATATGTATGAGAAGTTGTACGAATCAGCAGACAGAGAATCAGTTTCAAAGCCAGGAAGAGCTGGGTTCTAGTCTTGCCTCTGATACATACTGACTGTCTGACCCAGGGCGAGTCAGTCAAATCTCTTAGTGCTCCAAGATTGAATAAGCTTGCAGAGAAGGTTCAAACATGCACTGGTAGAGGGAGTTTTCTCACTTAGGAGTTCCCTATACCAATGACATCATAGGTCCTGTTCCTATCTTATGTATATTTCTATACATAGAGATTCACACACACACACCCACACACACACACACACACACACACACACCTCACAGGTAAGATAAGCCTTCCTGAAACATTTAAGCAAGTATAAGCCCTATTTCCCAGTACCAACCTTATAAAGGAGTCTTTATATATTGGATTACATTTCAGGAATAGTCTAGTAGTGTAAGGCAGATGCATAGGGAGGAAGATTGACTAGAAACCTTCATGGGAAACATTCAAGCTAATCAAATTAAAAGAAAGAGTTCAGCTCACAGGCCCACAGGGGAGGACTTTGCTTGGTATTCAGGCCTCCAAAGAGAACACTCACCTTATCTGCAAAATGAAGGACAATGAAGGAGGTATTGGACATTCTAGGTTTCTGGAAATGCTGGCTGCTGGAATGCCCGTCATACAATTTTTGAGCCCAATTCTGGTCAGTGCCTTTGGGAACCTATAGAATCACAGAATGAAGAGTTTTGTTAGGGAAAGCAAAGGGCAAAGAGAGGATTAGTCAGTCACTCAGCAAGGTCAGATTCACTGGGAACACATTAAAACCTGGGCTCTGTTGAACAACTTAACTATAGAAGTATATAGGCACAAAAGCTCTGGCCCCAAAGGATCAACTTAGAGTTTTCTGTGTGCCAGGCTCCCATAGGTATCCCCAGGAGCTGTGACATTCAGGGAAGAATCAGTTCTGAATCTGTTAGCTGGATTGTGGGAATTGGAAAAAGAGATGCTGCTATAGGGAAAACACAATCCATTTAACCACGAAGAACATGCCTCTCTACTACAATCAGCCCAGCCTCCTCATTGCCCCATGCTCGTTTCCTCCTTCCTGATTTCACTCATGTTATTCTCCTCACCTAGAATACCCCGCCCCTATTCATATTTTATCTATTCTTCAAGGCTCAGTTGGAGCCTCACCTCCTCCAATTGTTGTTGATGTTCATCTTTCATTCTTGAAGGTCAACGATATCATGGATGATGTCTTGACTTGCATATGAATTGGATTTAAGTGAGGTGGAGCTGAGCAAAGTCATCAGCCTCATTTTCTCCTCCCGAGTCATTGAAGTCCAGTGGCAGGACAGAAGTCAAGATGACTGGCAATGGCTCAGGATGTAGTGGGTGATCTTGGTCTTTTTAAACCAAGATCTTTTCCAGATCTCAGTGTGTCTGAGGCAATACCCAATAAATTATTCCTAACTACACCGTATTTCACTAAATTCCTTTCCCTCTGACCTACAGAATTTATAATCATAGATTAAGAGCTAGAAAAGATTTGAAGGGTTAACAAATCCAAACCCCTCATTTTATAGATGAAAAACCTAAAAGTTTAAGTGACTCATCTAAGATCATATAGTTACTAAGTCTCTGAGTCAAGATTTGAACCCAGGTCTTCCTAACTTCAAGTTCAGTACTCTACCACTAGGTTAGATACTCAAATCCAACTTCCTCTTTTTTTTTCTTTCAAACAGGTGAGGTTCAGAGAGGTTAAATCAATTGCCCACACAGGTATTAAGTTGCAGAGCTGGGATTTGAATCCAAGTCCGACAACACAAAATCCAGGGCTTCTTCTGTAGCCTCCTCACTTAAAAATCTCCATCACAGGGGGTGGAGCCAAGATGGCTGAGTAAAAGCAGTGACTTGCTTAAGCTCTCCCCCAAACCCCTCCACATACCTATAAAAAATGACTCTAAACAAATTCTAAAGCAGCAGAACCCACCAAAAAGACAGAGTGAAACAAATTTCCAGCCCAAGACAGCCTGAATGGTTGATCGAAAGGTATATCGCACCGGGCCGGGGAGAGGAGCGCAGTTTGGCGTGGGCACACAGGCCGCAGTGACCCTGAAGCAGGCCTCAGAGGACTGAATCGAGGGCAGCTGTGGTGGTTTCCAAACTTCTCAACCCACAAACGCCAAAGACAACTTAGAAGGTCAGTGAGAAAAATCTGTGACTGGGGTGAGAGAAGGAGCTAGGTCTCAGCTGCAAGTCCCAAGCATGCCCTTGGGGCAGCAGCTGCCTCCTGAGCTTCCAGCCCACAGACAGAGGGGGAATCAAGTGGCTGATCAAAGAGGGATTGCAGGGATCTCTCTGCTGGTGCAGGATTCTCTTGCTTTGCTCGTGCTTGGATCTGAGTCACAGTTCTGGGTAGTGGTCCTAGGGGGAGGAGGAATGCTGGTGTGGTGGAGCTTGTAGTGGCTGTGGAAAGGAAACTCTCCTCGAGGTTCCAAGACAGAAAAGAGTGCTCATAGACCAGAGCACAGGCCAGGAAAGGAGTAAACACCTCGCCCTTGATCATACCACCTTGGAAGAACTGAAAATTTACAGGTCCGTGGAAGTATTTCTGAACACAGCTGCACAAAACCCCTGAAGCTTGGGACAGTATATTCTCCACACTGGAAACAGACTCCTACCTTAACAAAGAGTTTACAACTCAAGTAATTGGCCAGGATCATGAGCAAGCAGCGCAAAAAGAGTCAGACTGTATTATCTTACTCTGATGACAAAGAAGATCAAAACATACAACCAGAAGAAGACAATGAAGCTAAAGCTCCTACATCCAATGCCTCCAAGAAAAATATTAATTGGTCCCAGGCCATAGAAGAGCTCAAAAAAGATTTTGAGAAGCAAGTAAGAGAAGTAGAGGAAAAACTGAGAGTGATGCTAAAGGAGACCCAAAAAAATACTGAAGAAAATAACACCTTAAAAAATAGCCTAACCCAAATGGCAAAAGAGGTCCACAAAGCCAATGAGGAGAAGAATGCCCTTAAAAGCAAACTTAGCCAAATGGAAAAGGAAGTCCAAAAGCTTACTGAAGAAAATACTTCCTTAAAAATTAGAGTGGAGAAATTGAAAGAGAGGAACAATTTGAGAAATCAAGGCACTGTAACACTAATCAAAAGGAATGAAAAAATAGAAGAGAATGTGAAATATCTCATTGGAAAAACAACTGACCTGGAAGATAGATCCAGGAGAGAGAACTTAAAAATTATTGGACTATCTGAAAGCCATGATCAAAAAGAGAGCCGAGACATCATCTTTCAAGAAATTATCAAGGAAAACTGTCCTGATATTTTAGAACCAGAGGGCAAAATAGAAATTGAAAGAATCCACCGATCTCCTCCTGAAAGAGATCCCCAAAGGAAAACTCCTAGGAATATTGTAGCCAAATTCCAGAATTCCCAGGTCAAGGAGAAGATATTACAAGCAGCCAGAAAGAAACAATCCAAGTATTGTGAAAACACAATCAGGATAACACAAGATTTAGCAGCTTCTACATTAAGGGTCCAGAGGGCATGGAGTTTGATATTCTGGAGGGCAAAGGAGATAGGACTACAACCCAGAATCACCTACCCAGCAAAACTGAGTATAATCCTTCAGGGTAAAAAGTGGTCATTCAATGAAATAGAGGACTTTCATGCATTCCTGTGGAAAAGACCAGAGCTGAATAGAAAATTTGACCTTCAAATACAAGACTCAAGTGAAACATGGAAGAGGTAAACAGGAAAGAGAAATCATAAGAGACTTATTCAGATTGAACTGTTTACATTCCTGCAGGGAAAGGTGATATTTGTAACTCATGAGTCCTTTGTGAGTATTAGGGTAGTGGGAGGGAAAAAATTATATGTATGTATAGATAGATAGAGGACACAGGGTGAGTTGAAGATGAAGGGATATCTGGAAAATAAAATTAAGGGGTGGGAGAAGATTATACTGGGAGAAGGAGAAAGGGAGAAGTAGAACGAGGTAAAATATCTCACATGAAACAGACAAGAAAAGGCTTTTACAGTGGAGGGGAAATGGGGGAAGGTGAGATGGAATGAGTGAATCTTATTCTCATAGGATTTGGCTTAAGGAAGGAATAACATACACAATGGGGTATGGAAATCTATCTTACTCTACAGGAAAATAAGGGGGGAAGGGGACAAGAGAGCAGGGGGTTGATAGAGGGGAGGGCAGATTGAGGGAGAGATAATCAAAAGCAAACACTTCTGAGGAGGGACAGGGTCAAGAGAGAGAATAGAATAAATGGGGGGGGTAGGATATGATAAAGGGAAATATACTTAGTTTTTCACAGCAGGGCTACTATGGAAGTGTTTTGCATGACTACACATCTATAACCTGTATCGAGATGCTTGCCTTTTCAATGAGGGTGGCTGGGGAGGGAGGAAGGGAGAAAATCTGTAACCCAAAGTTTTAAAAACACTTGTTAAAAATAAAAAAAAAATTAAAAAAAAATCTCCATCACAAAATTTTCAATCTTTAAATTGGATACTTGTATCAATCTTGTGGGGAGTATGTGTGTGTGATGTTTCCCCCAATAAATCAGAAGTGCCTTTAAGGCTGGTGTTCTTACCTTAAGATTCATGAACTTATTTGGATAAGTGTATTTTAATGTGATTGGTTTCCTTTGCAATCTTATGTATTTCACTTTATGCATTTTATTTTATTTTTAGGCAATTGGGGTTAAGTGACTTTCCCAGGGTCACAAGCTAGCATCTGTGTCAAATGTCTGAGGGCAGATTTGAACTCAGGTCCTCCTGACTACAAGGCCAGAGCTCTATCTACCCCGCCTCCTCACTGCCCCACTTTATGCATTTTAAAACATCATTCTTAGAAGAAGTCTATAGACCTCAACAGACTGGGATGATGGGGTCCATGACTTGATAAGAAGTTCTGTTCTAGGGAAGGCCCAACATTGCACTCAGTGTCCTGGGCTTTCTGGTCCTGGTATACTCAATCAATCCTTGCTGAATGGCCAATGCATTTGATTCCTTTCCACTTCCTCTTAAAGTTGTTCCCAGGACATCACACACATGAGTTCAGGGAAAAGAAAAGCTATAGACAGGCCCTTGATGATAATTTATAGGAAACCCAGTTGTTGAGTCAGTCTCCCCACAGAGCAAGGTAACATTCTACCAGTGACATTGGATTCTCATCAAGTTTATCAACAATATGGTAAAACTTCAACTCACCAGAATGGCTTAAGGAACAGACTGTCTAATTGCCCAATGCAATGTTCTGTTTAGTCAGTCAACGCTGCTACCCCCTGACCATATTCCTTTAACCTTGGCACCAAGTCCCTACTCTGATGCTTAAAAAAAAAATTTCCCTGGATAGATACTTATCATGTCTTCACAACTTGTTTGAAAATGCTGAAAATCACTTTGCACTGAAAATAACACTATAGATACCACTAATATACCCTATGATGACTTCCCCAGTGTGGAGGCTCTCTCACACTCCTATTGTGTTAATCGGACAGGTCTTCAGCACATGTATTAATAAGGATTCAATTTAGTTCCCAATTACAAGTTACTTAATTCATGTGCACTTCATTAATTCTGAATTTTAATTCAGACAGGAATATATGGAATTGAACTCTGAAGATGGAATCTGATGGTCAAATTAATCATGGTGAATAGGGTACCAAAAGCATGTTTATCTTCC